TTACGCGTTTTTTCAGCAAGCACAGAAAGAAAAAAGAAATGGGAGGGGGGGAAAGAGAAGGAAAAGAGAAAGAGAAGGAAAGATAGTGAGAAAAAGGCGGAGAGAGCCAAGAGAGTGCGCGAGCGGAGAGGATACCGTTGCATAAGCTATATTTAACCGCACCTGCTGGCGCCAGACTATCCACTCTCGCGCATGCGCTATACGACGTATTTTTCGACGCGACATACTCATTCTCTCTCTTTCTCCCCCTCCCCTGTCGACGCGTTTCGAGCAAGTCTACTGCTCTTCCATCCGGCGAAGGATAAAAACATACTATTGCGGCTCGCTATTCATATTCCGGAATGAGGTACATTAAACGTCGTATATGCCTCTACAATTAAACACTTTTGTCATTGTATATACCTAGCTATTCATACATCCATCAAAGTGATAATGACTTTTGATTAAGTATCTAAAGCCTAAAGGAGCAGCTTAGCGTCAGACTGCTCCTAATTCTAACAATGGATCTATACATGAAGATAATCCGCAAAATGTATAGCTTTTTTATAGAAAATACTTGTGAAAAGCCTTAAAAAAAATGTATCTAAAATCTATCTTTAAACTCTAGATTTCACATTTTTATACACGTGAAATACAGCTGTTTCGTTGTTAAGCACAGCTATAATATTTAACCAAGGATAGATGTAAATCAGCCAATGCGAGATACAATATTTAAGATGAGAATTTCTCTATCTAATTTAGACTGAGTATTTGATGTTTTCAGACTCTTATTTCGAAATGGATAGGAGAAACGTAATCGAAACGCGCACTATATCACTATATGTATATACAGTTATATACAAATTTTCGTGAATAAAAATGTGAATTCTCTCGGGTTATTCAGAGATATATAAGATGAATAAAAAAACTATCAAATAAGGGTGATGCGATGAAACAAATATGATATGAGACGGGAATGACCTTAGGGAACTGCTTTATAACGTAGTTAATTTAATTAAACACCACGCCATCAGTACTGGGTGCGCCGTTTATTACAGCAAAATTTGCCCAATACAGAGGTGAAAACTATTCCATTTTGTCAAATAATATGCATTTTCTTCTGAAATTATTACTTGAAATTGCGTTCCAAAAATAAAATTTTAAGATTATGCAACATTTATTTAGTTTTAGTCATTTAAATAATTTAGTTTAAGAAACATTAAGAAAATGTATTATATTTTTTATAAATTTGGATTTGTATCACGTCACGTTCATAGTCATTTTCAAAAATTATATACTGACATTTTAGAAATTTTTTAAAACGTTGCGCTTAATTAAAAAATAATGCAAATCAAGCATAAACGTTACTAATTACTTATTCTTTGCGCGTTTAATCTAATTCGATATTTATCTTCTTTATTCGTTTATGAACTATGTTAAAACCACGTGGCAATGATGTTATCTCTTGATTACGTAATTGATAATGAGTTACCCGACATCGACATTTCGACCTGACATCGTGCCGAAAATATTATTTTTCGTTGTCAATATATTTTTTACATTCTTGTATCTTAGATACAAAAAGAACAAAGAAAATAAATATGCACATTTCATATAAATATGTACGCTCCAAATACTTTACGTTCCAAAAAACCAACTTGAAATAACGATAATTATAATAATAGAATATTAACATTAAAAATTATATTCACGTAATATAATATGTAATTTGCAATATAATATATACAGATGTTATTCATATATAAATAAGTAAACCATTCTGATTAACAAATTTTATACTTGTAATTATTTCGTAAATTACCTCTTATATATTTCACATTTTTTTCATTTTACACAAAAAAATTACATTTTGACAATATAAAAAATAAATAAATATATCATTATCATAATTAATATCACATTTAATGAAATTTCTCTGATTTATTGTAATATCTAAAAAATTCTTGAAAATAAGTATTTATAAATTATATAAATCTAAAAATATTAAAAAAAAAAATACAATATAAATGGCTTATTCCACGTGCGCAAGATAGTATTAGCGATATCGATTATTTAAAATGAATTATATATAGTCAGATATCATAAACGTTTCGATCTGTTCACACATTAGATCATTATCAATATTAATAGAATTTAAATACACACAAACATCCTAGCGTCATTATGTAATGTTTCGCAATTTCATACAATTTGTCATTATAAATTATAAGATTCATACAAAGTCTCACTTATTCAGACCAATATCACATATTTGTTGTCCTGTCATATTCTTAGTTACTGAATGATTACTTCTATTGTTCTTCTCTAATGGATCATCAGAAATCATTCCGAATCGTGTCTCCTTATTGTAAAACATAACTTATGTCCATCCAACAATCCGCATAAAAAAAAAATTTCAACAATTGGACAAACAATTACCTGGTTCTATAGATCAAACAAAAAATTTTTTTAATAAATAAATAAATAAAAATATTATATAAATCTAAAAATATTACACGTATGCGCTAAAATTACACATTTATAAGTTTTTAAAATCAGTCATATATAAATTAAAAATAAAACCTTAAAAGATTATAAAATCACGCATAAAATTCTAAATTATATACCGTAGATTAGAGAAGAAGCAAAATTAATATAAAAAGAGGAAAGAAAAAGAAAAAAATACTATCATAAATAGGAGATGTAAAACTGTAAAACAAAGTGGGACAAGGTGATTTATTCTTCTCACATAAAAAATCAAATATTTCGGAAAACAGTAATTATTTTAAGTATATCAATTTCTTGTTAAAACATTTAGTGTATGTACACACACACACACACGCGCGCGCGCGCGCGCACACACACACACATGCACACGCGCAAACACGCACGCGCACGCACACACACACACACACGCACGCACGCACGCATACATATTTAAGTGAATAAAAAATATAGCATTTAAAATAATTTACTTTTTACAATTTTTAAAAGATGATCTATTGAAACCCAAGATAGTAACAGAAAATTCACATTTTAAAAATTCAAAGGACTTTCTAAATTTATCTTTAGACGTAAGACGTTTATTTTAGGATACAAGAAAAATGTGTAAAATATTTTTTCTTAGTCCAATAGATGCTATCGATATGTTTTATATCTTATCATCAAAGTCACAAACTTCTCAAAAGCAAATAATTTTAATCAATAAAAATTTTTAAATAAATTATAAGCTGTATCAGATCGACAATTATTCGACTATCATAAATTAATGTACATGACTTGGAAATTTATAAATTAAGTTTTAAATAAAAAAAAAAGTTATTTTTACTGTTTTATTATTTATTGTACTGCAAAGAATGTTTATTAAAAAGAATAATTCATTGCTATACATGTAATAACAGAATAATATTCGAAATGCGCGATTTATCTCGCGGTGAAACACATTTAGAAAAAACAGAAAATTTATTTAAGGAAAAATAATTAATCTATTTGAAACTAAAAGTGAATACTCCGAAATTGTAAGAAAAATGTATGTAAACTAACTACGTTCGACAGAAAACCAGCTTTGTAACTGTTGTAAAATTCTTTAATATGATTGGTTCTTGCTCTTAATTCCTCACTGAATCTAAATGTATAAACCAGTTATACTGAAGAATCTTACAACAATTGGTAAGCTGCTTTTTCCGTTGAACGCAATCACTCTCGCTTGGGCGGCAAATACCGATTAGGTTTATATTTCGGCTCCGGTCACAATCTTCACTTATCGGACGACAAAGAGTATAGGATATTTACCAGATAGTTGTGCGCACACATTACGCCACTGAAGATCGATAGGTCGGTTGCTCGAGGAGGAAAACGACGACATGGCGCCCGTTCTTTGGTGCATGGAGTCTGATACACCCAGATACGCGTCTTGCTTGTGTCGTCGTCGTCGTCGCCGTCGCCGTCATTGTCGTCATCATCATCATCATCATTGTCGTCGTTGTATCATGAACGCCTCGCGATCTCGTATGAAACGTCCGCGACGGACTCCACCCTCTTCGCTTGTCGGGGAGATTTGTGGTTCATCGAGAGTCACGCTGGGAGGAAGGCGAGAAGGAGGAAGGGAGGGAGGGAGGGGATTGCGACGTCCATTGCGCGAGTCGCGCGCGCAGGCCTAAAAAGCGCACTGTCAGCCGGAAACGTGTAGCACACGATATCCAAGAGGAGGAGGAGGAGGAGGAAGAGGAGGTAGAAAGATGGCGAGGAGCAAAGAAGAGGTAGAAGAGGTAGGAAAAGAGAAGGTAGAAGCGATGAAGGAGGAAGAGAGGAGGGTAGACAGAGAGGCCTTGGCAGCGGATCAGGCTAAACTCCAAGATAGAAAGCTCACACTCTCTTCAATCGTCCAAAAGTTGATTATCTTCCGACGAGCGAAGAATGTTACTAGTTTCTCTTCGTTTACTTACGTACTTAACAATTCAACATTACGCCATGAATGAAGATGCAAAAAAAACCTGAAGAATGCGAAGTGAGACGAGATGGAACGAGACGAGACGAGACGAGACGAAATGAGACGAATAGGAACGAACGGGAATGATACGAGACGAATAGAAACGATCAGAAACGAGGCGAGACAAATAGAGATGAAGAGCGAAGAAATGAGACGACGAAGAGAGACAAGATGAAGGAAAATGAAGAGAACCGAGGCAAGGCAAGGCGAGGCGAGAACTGCAAGGAGAAGGAAAAAACCGACTAAACACAAACGATAACCACACACTTCGGTCGATCGAAGCGAACTGAGCGGCCGCGTTGTGCGTTGGCCGGCTGGCAACGCACCGTCGGCTTCCCCTTCCATCGTGTTGCGCGCGTCCCCACCAGGGTGCTGTGACCGTCGTAACTTACCCCCATCGCAGCGGCGCCGTTGCCCGTTACCCGCGTTACCGCACTCTTTCACTACCGCGCTACGTTGCCTATATGTTGTTTATAGGGGAAGCGCGCGCGCGCGGAAGCATGCGATGTCGAGTCGAGACTCGAGAACTCCAGAAGGCAGAACTGGCAGAAGGCGAACGCCGCGGTCCGGCGTGTTGCCAGTGTTGCCTGTGTTGGCACTGTTGGCGATGTTGGCGATGTTGGCATGGCAAAGCAGGCAAAGGCAAAGGCTGAAGTCGAAGGGAGGTAAGGCTGGTAAGGGGTGAAGGGAAGAGCCGGTGTCTCACGCGGTTTCGGCGACGCGAGGATTGGTTGGCCGTGAATGGCGCAGGTGGCGGCCGGCCGGCCTGTGGCGGGCCGGGGCAATGACTGCATTTACGTGCCATCGTGTACACGCATTAAGAGAATCGAAGGCGCGATATCCTTTGCAACATATTTTGTTAAATATTCCGTCCTAACATACAGGCGAAATGCATTCTTTCCAATTCGTAGCGATTCGAAAGAAAAAGTAACAAATGTTTGTACGCTCTTCTCTTGTTTCACTTTTATTTTAAATTATTTTTAATTTCTCCAAATTTTGCTCCCATTTTTTATCATTTCCAAATTACTATATGTTTATGCCCTACTTTTGATTTTGTTCATATATTTAAGATTATACGAATAAATAACAATAGTATTAATAAATTATTATTTATAACGCTTTTAAAAGAAAATATATTTTACTGGTAATATACTGAAAACAATTAGTAAGTTATTAAGATAATAAACTTATGTGATAATAATATAATAATTTATTGTCGACATATTAAACAATGTAAATAAAATTATTATAATTCACGAAGAAGATGAAGCAATCTCTAAATGAAGTTAGTCGAAACTCCGTTTAGGGTTTGCCTTTGGTTCATCCAAATTTGGATTGGTCCACCGCTTCAGAACCGGTTTGCATCTCTGATTCCGGCCACAGTAATACATATACTATATTTTATAACAATATATTATAGCTTATTACGTTGCGTATTTATTCATTAACTTATACAAACACATCGCTGTAAATGGAGTTTTTTTTTAAATATACTGTTTCTACTGAATTAGTTATATTCCAACGGTATAACACTAGTTTAGTGTTACCATTTATAGTCACGTATGGCCTGATATGGCATGTTATAAAAATATACATATGATATATTTTTTATTAGACATTTTTCTGAAAAATTGCGTTTCAAATGTTTATTTTTTTTTTTATAGAAATAATTTATTGTAATAATTGTGTTGAATGTTAGAGTAAGCTTTTCGTATTTCTTTAAGTATATTTAAAATTGTGGCTTGCTATTTCATAATTTATTAAATTGTTTGGCACATTTTAAAGATCCTTTGTGAAATTTTCTAGAGAATAGTTAGCGGATTCTCTTTCATAACTTTCATATTTTGTTGCTTTTCCATGGCAACTTTATTATAATTCATAATATATATAATAAGCGTTTTTAATTTTTATTATGATGATTTGCGTCTAAATATTACTTATGTATATATGTGACATCTAAATGTCACCACGCCCCTTGATCAGCAGGTTAAACATGCTTTCTTGCAGGATCGCTGTGCGTGCGTTCCAATAATTAAACACACACACAGGACCGCCCAGTGTCGTAGGACTCTTGTCGTAAGGCTTCAATTATTGGTAAAGCTTGTTTCAATTTGCGCTCGAATTTGCGTGCAGAGTCGAATAACGAAAACAGAGTTCTCAAAAATAGAATTATTATATATATAATAGTTTTTGAAATTCAAATATTCTGCTTTCCGATTACAGCTAATCGTCGAGCGTCAATCACGTGACCAATACGAATAAATGATTGAACGCACGATACGCACGGGGTAAAAGCAAACAGTGGCAAAGAGATAGCGAAAGTGGACATTCGGTATACTTTCAGTTGTTATTTGTTACTAATTACTCTGTCCTCCAAGAAATGTATATATTTTATTATACATAGAATCAAGTACAAACAATGTAAAATGTAAAATAAGATGGAAAATGAAGCGTAAAGTCAAATTAAACTTTTATTGAATTATAATAAAATATGCAGTTACATTAAGTTCAATGAAAGAAAATAAAGTAAAGTAAAATAAAATGAACAAAGAGAGTGTAATGAGAAATAAAATGCAACAAAATGAAAAAATAAAATAAAATAAAATAAAAATATATAAAGTAGAGGACAAACAATAGAGCAGTAAAAGACCTTTTTCCGTTTGAGCAAGCAGTCTTTACATTAAATCTTAACGAGCCTGATCTTATATTAACGTGTCATTTTGTTGACCTAGAATCTCGTTTTCGTCATATTATCATTTTACATAACCGATGCACTTATAACCGTTTAACGTCAATAATCTTATCGACCTATCCCGACCCCGACAACCCCGTAATGCTAGCCTGTAACCTAAATTCAAAAAATGTTATCAAAACGACGCATTCATCATTCGTCCTTCTTACGAAATAGGGCCAGAGGCTTCGGTGATAACAGTACAGCAAAATAAATTTGATGCGCAGAGCAAGAATGATGGATAATATGTGTAAAGATCATCGTATAAAACTCATATCAAGTTGCTTCATGTTATATTTTGTACTTGCAAGCAGATAAAAGATGATATAATAATTATTTCAGTTCTTTTACAAGTTATACTTAATCTTTTTTGAGAAAATTGTAATGTCAAACTTATGAAAATATTTCGTTTGTAATAATTTACTTGTTAGGATAGTCGATAATAGACAACAGACACTTTTCTCTTTTTAAAAACTTACTACTGTGGAAGAATATACTTTAAGCTCGAAATTAATTGTACGTTAAACAAAGTCAGATATTTGCCGACCCGAAGAGACCCGCGCTGTTCACATGCAAATGCACTTTTCCTATGCGAGCGACTGTATTCATCATGAATATATGGAAGCGCGCGTGATTTCGTAATACCTCACCTATCGTCACACCATGTACAAAGACTGTTTGAAAACCTTGTCGATAAATTGCCAAGACGTAAAACTCAAATGGGCAATCTTAGACAGAAAAATATTTAACAAACATTACAGTAATATCCTAGAGTGATACTAATATTTTACAATTTACGATTTTAATATCAACGATCATTAATAGATTCTTTGATCACAATTTGCAATACATCCTTTTTTTTCTACAAGTATGTCAGAGGAAATTATTACATTTATGCTGTACTTATTTTTACAACTTATATACGTACGTGTATATATCTACCAAATATTCGTAATCACTTAATTCCAATGATGATGTATTATTCGATAAATAATTGTTTTCTTATATATATAAGCGGAAATGTGATAAGAAACGACGTACCTCTATTGTTATTGCTAGTTTCAAATTTGTTATATAATATATTAATATTATAAGAGGAGTATTAAAAAAAATATATTAATTAATTTTATATGCGAGACATGTACGTGGCAATGAAAATATAGACTTGCACAAACGTAAAAGCTTTAAGTGGTCTTAATACTTTAAAGGAGACACTTACCTACGGCATTTGTCCCGTTTCGAATTTCCAATCATTGTTTATCGTTGTACCGATACCATACAAGTTAAAATTTATGAGACTATTGCTAATCTCTTTGGCATATAATAGGATTTTTTAATATTCTGAATTATCAGAGCCTACAGAGGAATGATTCAAGACGAGACTTACTTCATAAAGTGTATTAGTAGGCCACGACGAAAATATATACCAGGCGTCTCGGCTAATAGTAGCCGAGCGATGGCATTGACCGCCATATTCTTAGTAGTTTTCGAAGTAACATTTAGAGAGCGAATTTTGTTCCTAATCTTTCCTTCTCTCTATTATTCTTTTCCTCTAGCTTCTTCTCTTTCCTGTAGGTATCGAAAAGTTAGAGAACCTTCAGAATCTTTTATCTCATGTTAACTATGCGCGCGTGAGATTGGTGCAACGAAATTGTTCCTATGGAACAAATATTCCTTTTATACAATAACAATGACAATTTTTTATGAATGAATATACATATATACTGTTTCGATGTAATATTTGTATTTTTTACACATTAATTTCATATGTACACGCGCGTGTAACTTAAACATTTGTTTGTATTTATAATAATGTCTGCTTATATACATATTATACTTGGATTATATATTTGGAATAAAAAATGGTCAATTCGATTTGATGGCGGCTCGTCTCGGATCTATCTCTTGCTCGATGACCTGTGGTCCAACGTGGTCATGCGTTGATATCTTTCGCATAGTTTATACACTTTCTACGCTCATTCGCTACTCACTGTCACCGAAAAAAACCGATAACCCGAGATATGTTCGCCCGGGTACACGCGTCTCGTTATCACCGTTGCTCCCGTGACTTCGGTTTCAAATCGTGTTGCTAGGCAAGCATAAGATTGAGATTTCTACGTTCGAAATCTCGTTATTTCGTCATTGTCTCAAAAAATCGATTTGTCACGTTACATTCGTTTTAACTATGTGAATTTGTCAATTAATTATCCTCTACACTCTTTTATTATAATTTCACCAAAAATTAGTATTAATTTAGATAAGAACGTTTATACGTTAAAATTAATTTGTAGCGATAGTCGTACATAATATAATAATCTGAGACGATAATCTGAGTTCAGAAAATAAGAACAAAACTTGTGAATATGATTTTAACTTCTTTTCTGATAAGATTTTTCAAGAATTTCCAAGATTTATTTTTAAGAGAAATGTAAAATACGACAATATTATATAAAAGATATGTCGAAGATGTGTGATGTAACGCGTGAAAGACAAGTGCGGGCGCTTTCAAAGTTGCTTCATACGGCCCTTCCCCGATGGGATACGCGACACTCGAAAAGATTACACTCTTTCCTTCCCCTTCTCTACCACACGAGTACTTTTCATTTTCATTTTGTCGTTATGTTCTCTTTCGCCCCCTCGGTTCTCCAAGATAGACCGCAACTATAATTAGCTCTCCCCTTTTTTTTATTACGCTTTGTAAACGCGTTCGCTCGAGATCAACGCGGTTGCCAATGGCGTAACAATCAATTTTCGGTCCCCTTAAGCAGAATAGTAAAGAAACGATTTTCTTATGAAGGTATACAAAATGAATTATTAAGAAAAGAATTATATATGTATAAAAGAAAAAAACGTATAGAAAAATCTTTTGAAGGGAGACTCGCACAAACGTAGCTCTCGATTGATGTTATATATCTTATACTGTAATATTTATTATATAAAATGCGCATTATTATAATGTATAATACATCGTATTTTATTTTTGCGTAACGTATGGACACAAAAAATTGAATTCTACAGAAATTATAATGGAATCTTAGGAGGATTGATTATATAGCTATACATATATATAGTTTGGAAACTGTGTGATGATGGGGGCGTAGGTCGTTGACAAACATGGGAGTGCCATAGATAGAGGATCGATGGCAAAAAGAGAGAAAGATAGTTTAAGAGAGGACCTCTTCTACATCGTTTGGCCATTCCCTTCATAAACGGGCGTGGCCCTTAGATTGTGTGCCTTAGATTGTCGTAACGTATAATTTCCGTTTCTATGGAAAATTACATTTCAGGAAAAGAATTTTTAATTAATGTTTCCAAGTTTTATAGATGAAAAAAATTTTCTCAATTTCGGACACAAATTTTATTAAGAGCTGCGTTGATGATGCGCTACATTTTCCTTTTCGTAATTTTAGAGATTAAAATTAAATTATTATGTCGTTGAGATAACGGAAATGCGAAGTTTCGCATGCAACAAAACCAACCCCATAGTTGGTTTATATTTATTCGCGCATTTTGTAAATCGTTTTAATATAACGGACTTATTAAAACGCGTGAAATAGATACGCGAAAAGAGAGTCAATGAGCGGAAACCAACCGATTGTACGCGCATATAAGCAATTGTAAATCGCTATGTTAATATCGCTGCCGGGGTTCACCGGGGTCGCGCCGGGTCATCATGACGTCAGCGGATACCGCGTCTCACCGTTGTTCGACGAGCTAATATACGCTCTACGTATGAGCATATCGACAGCACCAATAAAAAATATATCGCAACTATATTTTTGCTTTTAATTCAGATACAATCATTTTCTAATATTATTTTAGTATTTAGCATGTCATAGAAAAAAACCATCCATATTTGTGACCCCAATTACCTATTTTATATATATATGTGTATGTATATATATATATATATATATATAGAATAACTTGATGTTAATTTAATATTCCGTTACTACTGCGCTTCTAAACAAATTTGCAAAATTATTATCTTTCAGAATTGTAATCATTCTTATGTCACTTTTAAAGGATTACAATATTTCACACAAATTGCAAATTATAACCCAAACAACACAAAGTCTAAAATTATGATATAAGACACCTTTAAGTCGTCTTTTAGACGCAAAAAACATCCTATGACCTGATTTTAGATACTTTTTATTGTCTGGGAATATTCAGTTAGATATATCACTAAAATTTTTAACTTTTAAAATATATAAATATATAAGAATTAAGATACAAATAGATGATCTCTTTTTTCAATTTTTTTCCAAATTCTTTGTTATAATTCTTTTCAGTTCTTTATATACTATATTAGTATTTAATATAATTTTCTATAAAATTAATTATGTCTTTTTTTAAATTTAAATATATCTATAATATTATCCAATGTTTTCCCTTCTCTTCATAATTTTTTAAAAAACTTCTAAATTTCATATATTTTTCCAACATTATTATAGCGGCTCGTTTTGTTACCTCATTTTTGCGATAATTTATGACAGCTTTGAGCAATTAATTCATTCATGTATAATACATTGTTAGAACAATTCAATCATGTTCAAGTTTCGCCCTCTGTCCTACATTTCTCATTAAGAACTACGTATATACATGAATGAGGTAATCTGTCGGTTTTATATC